CTGTGTTCATTGGTTATGCTTGTATGCAGATGGAACTTTCTTTGAGTATTGTGTTAAAAAAATGTTCTATGTTTGGATAATGCCTTACTGTCACATGTGTCATAGTTTTAATATTCCTAGCTTGCCATCTAAAGAGATACAATAAATTCTATTATAAATCCATAGAGATAAAACTTACCAAGAATAGTATAACTAGTGGCAGAAATGAAACCAGAGAAAAATAGGCCTGTTTTTTCTCTTTTATCAGATTGCGGCAGAGTTGAGAGTAGACTTGTAGACAGTTTTGAATGCCATTACCAGAAGTCATGGAGGTTGATGAAAATATGTATTATTAATCAAGACATTTTGAATGCACTTAAACTTAGGTTAATTTGTATATTTTAATCATAGGAGATAACTACATAAATTTGAAAAGTAGAACTTTAAGATATTTAGTCTTCAGTAGTGCTTGGTGCTCATGTCAATCCCCAGCTCTGAATTAGCATCACAGCCTTGTAAAAAATATGCAATTTAGATTAAGGGATTAGGAGGAAGTGATCAGACAGGAATTAACTGCTGCAAGAGATAATAAATCTGATATTTACTTAGTAAATGTTACTGTAAAATCTGTTAAAATTGAGACAATTTCTGACTCGATCTGGATACATTGATTAGATGATACACAGCCCACTGCCTAATTATTAACAAGCAGTATGGGCTTCCTGGCATTCTTAGGTCTATGTTGATTTTCAGAAGACAAAATACAAAACACAGTGTAGTCACAGTATAAACCAGGACCCAGTGGATAGGCAGTAAATGTATTATGGGACTTACCTACCTAGGGCAGTGGTCGGCAAACTGTGGCTCGTGAGCCACATGCGGCTCTTTGGCCCCTTGAGTGTGGCCACGAAGTTTCAATCGCACTGTACATGCGCACCCGTATGTGGTATTTTGTGGAAGAGCCACACTCAAGGGGCCGCAGTTTGCCGACCACTGACCTAAGGTTCTTGGATTTGGCCTGTTACTGCTTAAGTAGATTATTGCACTTTAAAAATGAAGTGTGTATTTAGAACTTAAAATAGAAATGTGTGTGTGTAAAACAAATCCTTTATTTGTTAAAGAATAGAATTTGGAAGAAGTAAATGATCCAGATGTTTGGTTCTTCCCTTAGTCCCCAACTGATTTTGTATGTTTTAAAGCATGCTATATCAAAACCCTATTAGTTGTAAAAATCTTTATTTCTTTTAAAATGGAAAAAACTTTTAGACTAGCATCATTGTTGAGGTGTATATCTCTTACTAAAAATCTGTAACAAGCTTAGTGTGAATATAGTACCCCCCTCCCAAGTTATGTTTATGTTATATGCCCTGTTCATTTAAGAGTTTTATTCATTGTGAGTCAGATGTTAAGTTGCATTTGGGGAATCTCCTGTATTGTTAAATAGTGTTTTTGTAGTATGTTTGGCATTGCTTCAGAAATAACAGATTTTGGCTCTTTTTTAAAAACCTTCATCCGAGGACATGCTGGG